GGCGCGCGCGCAGCTGCTGCTGCTGCTGCTGATAACGCAGTGCTGTGCCTGACCGAATCGACAGACAGGCTTTGTCGCTGCACCAAAACTGCGATCTTGGGCCGAGGCACCGCCGGAAAACTCTTTTCTCTTTTCGCTCAGTGCGGATCTGCCGCTGCAACTGTGAGCTTGCGTAGCGTTTCCCACGCTCCCTCTCTCCCTCTCTCCCTCTCTCCCTCTCTGTGTGCTCAATCGAGCGCTCGCTCTGCGCATGGCACCCGAGCCACCTGGCATCCAACAGCTCCGCGTCCCAACTCGAGCCACCGGCGACATGGCGCGGGCTCAACAAGCGCAACAAGGCGCGACGACCGTCGTCCTCGAGCCGTGAGAACGGCGCATGGGGCACACAGGCTGCCGTGTACAGCATGCCAGACGACGTTTTCGCCGAGGGTTTCATTGCCTCGCTGCGTTGCGTTGCGTTGCGTTGCGGGGGGAGGCCAATTGCGCGGAGTTTTTCTCGGCGTGTTCGGCTGTTCTTCAAGAGATGAAGTGCCCTCCTCCAACCAGCGCTAGTTCCGTCGCTTTTGCCGTCGATGCAGATATTGGCAACGTCGAGCTGCCAGATGAAAGACGTGCTCGTTTTGGGGGGGGGGGGGGGCAGGTGCATGTCGCTTCGTTGGTGTGTGTGTGTAGCGTTAAGCTCAGACTTTATATCCGAGTATGACTGCGGAGGCTCGAGTCGGATGACCGTGTCGCATCGTGGTCGCTCCAAGCGTGCCGTTCCAGCGCGCGTGTCCTTGCGGGACTGCAAGATGAAGCGCGAGACTCGAATGCCTGCGGTCTGTCGAGAGAAAAGCGATCGACGCTTCTCAGAGCATGCAGCACGCAAAGCGTCTCACGCTCGACAGTGCCGGTCAACCCATCGCCACCGGTCAATTCTTGACTCCCACCCCTTCATCAGTGACAAACGCACACCACACAACCCCCCCCCCCCCCCTCCCAGCGAACCGTTTGCAACCGAAGCGCAACGAGCCTTTGTATCATGCAACGCTGCCCAGATGAAGCGGCGAGCCACCGTGACGTTTCGGACGCGCTCTTGCATGCGACCGTTTTCTCACCCCCCCCCCCCCCCCCCACCCGTGTCTTCCGTCGGATGCACAGTACGGGCCGCCGTGCACCACGGTTGCCATCACATGACGAACAATGGGCTCCGCCCTCGTCTGCGCGCAAACGCAAAGCGTGGTTCTACAGTCGCTCTCATCTGCGTTTGCTCGCAACTCTGCAGATTAGGCCCTCGGCGGTGGGTCGTAGTGCAGCAAGCTCAAGCTTTGCGGGTCTTGGCACTGGCTCGGTGTGTTCGAGTCGTCATGTGGTGGAGAGCGCGGTAGAGAGACTGGGAAGCGTGCCTTGCGTGGCTGTAGCTGTGCCTGTAGCTGTGCCTGTAGCTGTAGCTGTCGGAAGCGTTCCATTGGCTGGATGCTCCTGCGCAGGAACAGCGAGACGAGCGGGCACAGATAACGGTGCAGTCGACACGAATCGCTTAGCAGGCTCTCTCCCTTTGAGCGTCTGTCACTGCCACGCTCGCCACCAAACACACCTGGAGTTCTCCGGACGCGACCGAGCCAGCGCCAACCTTGAGCATGCCCACGCTTCTCGATGTGCGCACTTTGGCTCCAAGCTCATTGTTTGACGCACCAGCCCCACAAAAACCTTGGCTCGAATCGCAAGTCGCCGCAAGCTCCAGCAGCAGCCAGGAGCACACCCAGCCGAGATGATACATCCGGAATGAAGGCACGCTGGCCTGCTGCTTCGGCGTGAGCCTGTCCGAACGTCGGGACGCCTCTTTGCCGTTTCTTGTTCTGTCGCTTCCCTCTGGCCTGGCTTGACACTTCCGAACTTAATCCTCGCCGTTGTCACCGAAGCTTGTCAGTGAAGAATGCCAACCCAATCCGCACACGCACCTCGACACACACACGCATCTCGTTCGGTCTCCCTGCTTTGTTTGTGCAGTCAAAGATACAGGCACCACGACTTTCCGCACAGAGACAGCTGCGTATTTCCGAACCCGCCATCTCCGACCCGGACCGCTCTCCGCCGCACACTTTGCCTCTCGACGCTCGCCATGCTCGCCATGCTCGCCATGCTTCACGAACGAACGATCTCCCACCCCAACCGCTTGCCGGCCCAGAACGGCACCACCTGCACCTTGGCCGCGTCCGCATCCGACACTTGTGCGAACTCCGGGTGCACGTATACGGCGGGCACCGTCGCCGCGCTGGCCGCGCGGCGCAGCGTGACGCGGCCGTGCGCGAGCTCGTGCCCCCTGTCGTAGCCGTAGAACCGGCGGCCGTTGAGGCTGACGTAGTTGGCCAGCTGGTCGAGCGCGCCGAAGTTCTCGAGCAGCGTCGCGCACAGCGGCACGAGGATCGACGATGTGTAGACGCCCGCGGCGCAGCCGCACGAGATGACACCCGTGGGCTCGAGGTCGTCGCTGCCCGAGGTGGCTTGGGTGCCTGGCGCGCCGTGCGTGGCGGCAGAGGGGTACTTGCTGGCGAGCGGGTGCGGCGCCGAGTCGGAGCCGAGGAAGAAGCGAGGGTGTCCTTCGCGGATGACATCGCGCAGCGCCTCGCGGTCGTCCGGGTACTTGGCTACGGGCTTGCAGAAGTTGAGCGGCTTGCCCGCCCAGTCGTCGACGATCAGCTCGAGGTGGTGCGGCGTGATGGTGCACCCCACCGTATCGCCGCACTGCTTGACCGCCTCCACAGCCTTCCTCGTGGTAGCATGCTCCAGCACGATCTTGAGCTGCGGGAACTGGCGGTGGAGCTTGAACAGGTGCGGCAGGAACTTCTCCTCGGCATTCAGCACACAGATGCCCGCCTCCGCATTGCTCGGCACCTCGCCGTGCAGGTTGAGCACCATGTTGTGCTTCTGCATCTCCTCAAAGATCGGGTAGTACGTCTCGTAGTCCTCGATGCCGCTGTCCGAGTTGGTGGTGACGCCGCGCGGATAGCTCTTGACGCCGCGCACGCCGTTCTGCGCCGCCGTGGCGATCTCGGCAGGTGTCAGCTTGGGCGAGAGGTACAGCGTGCCGACGAACTTGGTCTGTGGAGCGAGGGCTTGTAGAGATTCGAGGTACTCGGTCGCCTGCTGTGCCGACGTGATGGGGGGTACGAGGTTGGGCATCACGTACGCGAGCGAGACACCTCCTTGGGCGACGTGCGGCGTGACGAGTTCCGACATCTTGCCCTGTCGCAGGTGGACGTGGAAGTCGGCGGGCGCCGGCACGGTGATCTCCTGTGCTGACATGTTTGCGGGTCGCTAATGTGGGTGAGGGTGGAGAGGGTATAGCTGATAACTTAGAGGGGAAGATGGATGTCGTCCTTCCCCTTCGCTCTTTGAAAAGAAGAAATTGCGGAGCGCCGGCTTTTTCCATTTTTTTCACCCGCATTTCCAGCTTCGATTTCCCTTTTTTTTTGGACTGGAAAATGGCCCAAGCGGAAATATGGCCGCTCAAGTCACCGCACTCACAAAGCAGTCACGAGCCCACTCTACAGTATGCTCACAGACTCAATCCACTCGACACCAACGAGGCTCTCTTGTTACTTCTCTCAACATTGATAGAGTTGCATACATCGAGATTCGCAGCTCTGCCACTTGCATTGCACGCAGCAGCACACCTGCGCTCATCCGAGGCGCAATCCAAGCAGCAGACCGGCCATAAACGTAGCACGCGGCTGGAAGTCGGCCACGAGAAAGTCGGTCGTTTGCGTCCAGATGCGCTGCAGCGTGCTGCCCGAGAAGCCGCGCACGTTGCTCGTCTCTGGCCCAGCAGCGGTGCCCACGAGCTTGTCGTAGCGCGAGTTGATCGCCGACCAGTTGACCGAGATGAGCCGCTGGCTGTTGAGGTACTGCAGCAGCACATAGCCGCCACCGAGCAGGAACGCGATGAGCTTGAGGCCCTTTTTGATGAACACGCCGGCGCAGAAGCCGCAGATGGTGCCGAACGAGAGCTGGTAGACGTTGACGATGCTCTTGGGTTCCGTCGAGACCGTGGTGGTGTCGTTGGTCGTCGAGACGCTGACAGGTGCGGATGGGGTCGCGTACGGACGCGCCGATTCGCATTGGACCTTTTGGGATGTGAACGCGCTCAGTCCGGCAGCGGCGATGAGCGAGCCACCGCCGAGCATCAGTCCCTTGCGCATCGTTGCGCCGGAGCTGGATGCAGACGCCGCGACGACGCGTGGGCGCAGGTTGCGTGCTGCAGCTTCGGAGCGCGTGCGTGGGTCGATGCGCTTGCCGTAGTACGTGCGCACCTGTTGGGGCATGCGCATGTTCAGGCCGACCCTAGCTTCTGCCATCGATGCGGCCTGGTAAAGTTTCGCACCAGTTACGTTCGCAACATTGTCAGCAATCTGTCACAACATTCCACAGCTTCAATTGAGATGGTGGCACTTACACGGCACGCCTGCGGGACGGCGCGCATCATCGGGAATGCGCTCATGTCGGAGTGAAACGAGTGGGCTGATGGATATAAGGTACAAGTTGATCGTTGGTGAGGATGTGGTGGTTACAAGCATGACGGATCTATTCTGTGGTTTGAGCTTTCACCCATGCTGACGCTTGTGTTTCCGCGCCCCGCGTCCGTTGGCCCGTAAACCTCCACATGCTGCTCTCGTCGTCAACAAAAACACGCAATCACAAAGAATAGGCTTTCAACACCAGCATCCGAGGTCAGGGTCTCACAACGCAGCCTTGGGACCTGGTGGACAAGTCTCAGACACCCTTCGCCACATGTCCAGTACAGCAAACCGAGGACAGATCGCTTCCACAGAGCCCGGGAGTAGTGTGGCTGATGTGGTCGAGCTACAGAAAAGTGCGTCTGAAACCACCATATCTTGCAAACCTTCAAATCGACATTCCTCGTCCATTTCCAAATCAATCATGTTCGAAATTTCACCAGCGTATTCCCCTCGCCTTTCCGCGTTCGTGGGCGCCAAAAAAATGGCGAAAAAAAGAATTAAGGGTCACTGCGGGATTCGAACCCGCGACCACCTCTAGATTCTAGAGCCTCTGCTGGATCTGGTGTGAAACACACCGGGTTTTGCCCGAAAGAGGTATCCTACCACTGGACGAAGCAACCTCTCTACATGTCTGCCGGTGATTGCAATGCGTACATGTACGCGTCCTCTCTTGTTGCATTGCTGTCCGCGGTCTTCGACGTCGTGTTGAGGCGTCTCAAGCATCAAACACGAGATGTGTCTGCATGGCACGGAACTCACCACGACGGTGCCCACAACACTGCGCAACACTCAATTTCAGACCAGCCCCGGCTTCATCACAACGTACTGCAGATACCGTTCAACTGAGGTTGCGTATTTACTAGACTCGGTCAGGAATGCCCTTGTTCAGGGAAGGTGGCCGGTGCGGATAGGAGCACGGGCATAGTGGCTGGGCAGATAGACGGTCGTGTTGAAGCTGGGTGCGACTTGCGCGAAGCCAGGCTTGATGTGGGCGTGGCTGGGAGGGATGCCGCTGGCGTTGAACACGTGGATGCCCACCGAGCACAGCTTGAGTTCGCGGAACGAGACGTTGGCGTCCTTCCACTCGGTCTCGGAGGGCACGTCGACCTGGAAGAGCACCTTGCCAAACTCCTTCTTTGGCTTCTTTGGCTCTTTCGAGCTGAGCGCCGTGTCGTCGTCGTCGTCCGACTCTTCCTGCTCGTGAGCAGGGCGGGGTGGGCGAGGCGGACCAGGGCGAGGACCACGAGGAGGACCGCGACGTGGCGGGACGGGTGGGCCCACCTTCCCATCCCACACAAAGGTGACGCTCGATCCAGCGAGGGAGGGAGCAACCTCAACGCCCTGGCCGAACCATCTGAGTAGGGTCTGGATCTCTACCGTCTTGCCAGGCACCAAGTCGAAGCAGTCTTGCACCTTTCCAGGTCCTCGGTGCGGCGGAGGCGGAGGCGGCGGAGGGTGGGGGTGATCGTGACCGGGAGGGCCATGAGGCGGCGGGGGTGGGGGAGGATGAGGGTGGCCATGGCCGGGAGGGCCGTGAGGGGGCGGAGGAGGAGGGAAGGGATGGTCGCGACCAGGAAGGCCGTGAGGAGGCGGGCCAGGCGGGTGAGGGCCACGGCCAGGTGGCCCATGGTGGTGAGGGTGGTGGTGGTGGCGGTGATGGCGATCGTCACCGTGGCCGTTCAACGAAATGAGACCATTGTGGCCGTAGAGCTCAGGGCGGAAAAGTGCCCAGAAGCCATTGGCGGCCAAGAAAGCAACGAGAAAGATGGCAATGCTCTTGAGCCCTCGCGACAGGACGCGAGCACCTCTGCCACTACGGCGTGATGTGTGGTCCTGACCCACATGAAGCTCGAGGTGGTCTTCGTTCAGGGCACCGCCTTTGGCCGGCATGTCGACGACGCTGTCTGCATCGTGGGAATGGGCGACAAGCGGCTCTTTCTCGAGATCAACGGTGTTGGAGTGCTCGTGTTGGGAGGGGGGAGGAGACATGTTGGCGGAGGGTGAGGTGGTGGTGAGGCAGGTCGATTCTGCATCGGAAAGGCTCCACTTTTATGTACTTTCCTTGAACAGATGGCAGCGTCTTGAGACTGCATGGAACTGCAGTCACACAGCCCGCTGCCCCCGCTGCTCGATGCGGCGTCGTGCAGTGCGCAGCTGCAGGTGTTCTGCATGACATTGGGATCCAGAACGGAGGGACAGACAGTGCGGCAGTTCGCCAATCGCTATCAGCGGGAAGCCGTGCCGAAACATGCTGGAATTGACCGACAATGGCCGTCTCACTTCGACTGACCCATAGAAAGCCGCTCGTGCGCAGCGAGACAAGTTAGAGACCGCCACTGAACCAGTTATTGTGGCTTTCCATTTTGACGACGCATTGGGAGCACAGCCCTGATCTCGCTGCCCACGCTAGATGGAGCATGCCCATGTGACCTCGAGACCGTCGCTGTGAGCCATGATCAACCTGGTCGCTCCGCATTGCGGATTTGCGGGTAAAGAGAGCAACTCCTCATCCAGCATGTGGTGCGATTGCGTTCGCCAAGCAGGAGCGCATGGTCGAGACATGCTGAGTTCAAACGCTTCACAGCCCGCGAGAATTGGCGCGCCGAAGACCATGCTAATTACGACCGCGTGGTCGCGGTGTTTGCCATGCCGCATGGTCGATGATCGCAAGTGATTCCTCGCAAGCGTGGCAATCAGCGCCACCCTGATGCAAGCAGCGCTTGAGCGCGTCGAGCGGCCATTTGAAGACCGAAGGTTGCTGGCATGGAAGCGAGGCAAAGCGACAAGCTCAAAATAGCCATTTGATGCCGCCCGCCGGCATCTTGTCGTTCGTCATCGAACTTTTGACAGCGCCGAAAAATCATCTCGATTTGTTAGAGTGGCATATCTCGCACAACGCAGGGAAGATCGAAAATTCGAATCGGGACCGAGACGAGACCTTGGAGAAGAGCGTGGACGCAGCCTGCTTCCTCTGCCCTCTATCCATCATCTACGATCAGCATCCACACACGGCTAGGCAGCTTTTGGCATCGCACCCACTCGTCAAGATGGCCAAGGTATCGCAACCAGAGCTCAAGCGCTTCCTCGACAAGCGCATCGCCGTCAACATCCAAGGCGGGCGCAAGATCCAAGGAACGCTGCGTGGATTCGACATGTTTCTCAATCTGGTCGTCGACGACGCCGTCGAGCAGGTACGTCCTGAAGCGGGCAACACGAATGCTTGGCACGACGGAGACCGCTGCGGAACCGTGGTGGTACGAGGAAACAGCGTGACGTCGCTCGAAGCGCTGGAGAACGTCAAGACACGATGATCGTCTGGATCCATCCTACCTCGAAAGACCCCTCAACTTGTACAACAGACACACCGCTTCCTTCCAGGACTGTTGCGTGGCGCTATCGTGGGTCGGCTATCGATAGCAACGCTTCAGGTCTCGGTCCCATCCGCGCATCGACGTGCAGTCCTCCATACCCTCGCATCAACGCGACCTCCGCCAAAACAAGGAGACTCTTCATCGCAACTTCGGCCGTCCGTGGTCGGCTTTTGAAAGCTTGTGACAGAGCTATTGGGCTCATGCTTTCAGCGTCCCTGCAGCCTCTCTCACGGCCGGCCTGCCTCAGGCTACACCGACGTGGAGCAGCCCTGGCTTGGATTCTACTACCGCGTCCGCTTCGTTGCTGTTTCCAAAAGTCTCCACAGCTCCACCGTTGCGTCCTCATCTCTGTACACTAATAGCAATTCTGTCTTCTCTACCGACGAGTGAAACCGTCCCGAAGTGTGTGTGCCGCAAAGTCTGTTCGCTACCAAAATTGAACTGCGCAGCAGCGTGAGCGGAGCGTCTGCTCCACACGGC